TTCAATCTTTTTTGGATCTAGTCTTTATGGTTCATTACTAAGGTTTTATGTATAAAAAATATTTCCCCATCGCTTTTAGTTTTTGAATTATGATTGAGTTTATTTTTGAAAATCAACAATTTTGATGTTTAATCGATTTAGAGCTTATAAATAAAAAACAATAATAATAGGCTTCAATCTTGTTATGGATTTAGTCTTTATGGCCCATTACTAAGGTTTTATGTATAAAAAGTATTTCCCCATCGCTTGTAGTTTTTGAGTTATGATTGAGTTAATTTTCGAAAATCAACAATTTTGATTTTAATCGATTTAGCGCTTATAAATAAAAAATGGTAATAATTGGGTTCAATCTTTTTATGGATTTAGTCTTTATGGTCCATTACTAAGGTTTTATGTATAAAAAGTTTTTCTCCATCGCTTTTAGTTTTTGAGTTATGATTGAGTTAATTTTCAAAAAATCAACAATTTTGACGTTTAATCGATTTAAAGCAGTAGTGTCCACTAATTTTTGATCAAAATCGATCGTGCCAAGGCCGAGGCGCTACAATTACTTTATCAACTCAAAATTTATTAATTCTTATCACATTAAATATTTGTTTAAGAAATGTAACATTCAACACAATTTCTATTGACTTTTCTTTTATAATTTCCCAAAGTTACATTTTTTAATTACGAATATTTTCCAATGTATCTTGCATTGAGTTATATCGATTAGGTTAGGTTGGTTAGGAAATATATTTTTTTTATAAATTAAACATCAATTATCAAGTTTCACCCTTTAATTTCCAATATTTTCGGCGAAAAAATCCTTTTTGATAAAAAAAAATGATTATTGATTTTAGAAAATAAATAGAGATCCTAATTTTTGTTTACCTGGAAGATAACACTTAAACCCACTATATTCTTGATCTCTAATCGCCAATTTAGAACGTTTTGAATCAAAACATATAAACCAAGGCACGATATTCATAATTTACACGGTGTCATAATTTTCCATCCATCTTCTATTAGAAACCAACCCAGACTAAATAGAAAATCGCAAAACTAGTTCACTTGGTAAACAATTTATTATTAAACATCAACTTGAATATCGTTCGCCAATTGTCAATCAGATCCTTCCGGAACTAATAGACATAAACATGCTTGGTCCGTTTAATCGCATGAAAGCGTTTATCGAAATGAAGTCATTGGGTTATACAAATTAAAAACTACAACTTACCGTTAGTTTTCGAGTTTTCTTCGATATTTCGTTCGAAAGAGTTATTATTGTTGCCGTGATGAATTTCTTTCTTCGTCGTTGTAATCACGTGAATCGTTGAATTCGTTCCTGAAATAAACGTTTCAGTTTTTCTCTTTCGCGAACAAAGAATTAATGGTAAGTTAACTACACGGTTAGCGAACGAAGAGTACACGTTTATTTTTAAAACTTTTCGGTTCTGAATATATATGACATCGTGGGGAACGAATATTTTCATTTAAAAATAGGTTTTGATGGCCAATTTAAAAAAAGATTTTTTTTTGCAATAACTTACGTTTGGTTGTTTCGGAGGAGTGCGTCTCTTGTTGTTGAACGGTCCGATACTGACGCTTTTTTGGCGACACGCCCTCTCTGTAAATGCAAAATAATCATAGATGTATTATACCACAATGTGTTTCAATTAGGTTTGGGTTTAATAGGATTTACGGTTGATGAATTTTTAAAGTTATGATGCCATACGGGAGAGGCTTTAATTATTTTCTTTTTTAATTAAATTTTTTTAATATTTAATTTTCATTTTTGAAATGATAATTCGATTTATTTCGATCGAATTTATTTTTGTCAAGCACAGTCACCGTGTTGTGAGTAGTTTCGACTTTTGCCAAAGTTTCTAGGAGTGCCAAACGCACCTTGACCGCGTTTCAATGTTTGAATGATGATGGCATTAATTGTGAAGGAAATTTTTTTAACTTACATATAATTTTTTTACATTTTCAACTTAATTTCAAAATGTCAAAATGCAAGATCAAACTTCAAAAGTTTCAGAAGGAGTATTTATGGAAATTAAGATATGATTTTAGTACCAAATTAAAGCTGAAACTTTCCTCTTTAAAATGATATATGATACATGTGAGGTTGTATTATGAAAATTATTGGATATGACTTTTTTTACATTTTTAGTTGAATTTCAAGATGTTAAAATGTAAGGTAAAATTTAATAAATTGTGGAAAGCTTATTTGTTGATATTAAGAAATGATTTTAGTACCAAATTAAAGCTGAAACATTCCTCTTTAAAATGATATATGATACATGTGAGGTTGTATTATGAAAATTATTGGATATGACTTTTTTTACATTTTTAGTTGAATTTCAAGATGTTAAAATGTAAGGTAAAATTTAATAAATTGTGGAAGGCTTATTTGTTGATATTAAGAAATGATTTTAGTACCAAATTAAAGCTGAAACATTCCTCTTTAAAATGATGTATGAAACATGTGGGGTTGTATTATAAAAATTATTAGATATGATTTTCACAATCACAAAGGATAATGTGTGTAGGCAAGTTATTTATTGCAATACGTATTAACTACCTAATAGCTATGTTCGGAGAGTAATTATTGGTTTAATTTCAACCCTATGTAATTAATTGTGAAGGAAATTTTTTTAACTTACTCGTTTAAACCTAATTTTAAAACATCCCCCGCTGATTTTAACATTGAATGCGTTTCGGAGTTCGTTTTATCTTTCGTTGATTCTCCATTAATCGATGTTATGATATCGCCTTCCCTTATTCCTCTATTTGCTGCTTTACTTCCAGGATTTACCTGCAAAAAAAGAAGCAAATTTAAAAATTAACAAATTTAAGTTAATTTGGTTGCCTAATCACCACTTTAAAATCGTTTAAAAAGTAATAAATATTTATTTAATTAAAATTTATTATCTTTTTTTATGATTAAATGTAATTACCTTATATTCTCGTCTTCTACCGTGTGGGGAACAAAATTTTAACATTTTATTATTTTTCTTTTAGCACCTTTATTTCAGTTTACACAATTCCTTTCACAAAAAGACTAAGAATGAAGTGATTGTAAAACTCTTACTCGACACGAACACAGGGTAATCTTTGTTACAAGACTCCCGGACGCGTAAAGAATGTTGATTTATCCAATTAATATTCATAGGGCCAACCACGAAGAACGTTCCCTAAGGTGTTTAAGTATTCACAGGTTAAGGACTTTTTTTATATTAAAATGTTTGAATGTATTACGACGAATAAAGTTGTGAAGTACTCGAAGTGCGACAAGTTTAACACGATTTGCAACATTTGCGGCGTACGAAGCCTGGTAAATGGTAAAACTATCTCGGGCTTCGTAATTTGATACAGAAACGCCCTCCAAGTTTATTAAGTTTTATTAGGACCGTTTATTAATTTTATAGTGCTGGGAAATGGCGAATTATTACATTCGCAGAAATATCATCTATCATAAACACCATTTTGCTTTGAATTGTTTGCTTCAACGACGAATTTATCACAATATCAAAGAAAAATTGGAATAGTTACAATAACATTGACCCAAATTCAAAGGATCATCAATTTTCGCATCGAAATAGCCGTTAATCAAGCCAATTTACGACCCAGATTTGTTATTCAGCTCTATAACAACTCGACTACACGGAGTTATTTGAAATGTAAACATCTACCGGGAGGTTATTTCAGAACATTTTCCAACTGGAATCGTCCCATTAAAGAATCTCACTCTTTTTAAAAATATATTTTAGATCTAACCCAAAATCATCTTATTTAATCCCATTGATAATTATGTTCTCGCATCTCCAACACTAAATTAGCTTGACGTGTACCTTGATTAATTGCCATATGTATGTTAAGGTTAGCTTTGTTAGTTATTATGCTAATTAGATTGTATTCTGATTATAATTATGTCCAGAAACAGGAAGAGAAATGCTTGTTATCCATATATATATATATGTATATAATTGACAGGATAAAATGAAACATCAGTTTTGGTTCGTTTAAGAAAATTTAAACTGTTACGTGTGCAGGTTATGGTCAATTAAATTGTTAAAAAGACGATTTTCTTCAATTGAGCAAATTAGAATTGAAGGATCCTTGAGAATGTTTTAAAATTACTTTATAAACAAAATTTCTTAATTAATCAAGCCAAAAAGATTTAACGGTGATTCAACTTGGCGTGGGCGAGGTTTTAACGTAACTAATTACTTCCAAACCGATGTAGAGACCACATAAATTTCTCTAAAGTTCGAGACGATCGAAGTTTAACCTTGTTTTAATAGTTAAAGTGAAATATTTTTTGACCCAACTCATTAACGATATCTCAATTAATTTATACTGGTCGTTTTTCGATTTATATGTCTATATTTTCAATATAAATTGAGCTCATTCGTTTTACATAATGAATAGAGAGAGAGAAATGAATGGTGTATTTCACCTGTTTGAACATTCACAAAAGATAATGTGTGTAGGCAAGTAATTTATTGCAATACGTATTAACTATAGCTATGTTCGGAGAGTAATTATTGGTTTAATTGCAACCCTATGTAATTTGTTGTTACACAATACATTGTATTTGTTTAAGTTAAGGAAATTAAGAAATGATTTTGGTATCAAATTAAAGCTGAAACATTCCTCTTTAAAATGATATATGATACATGTGAGGTTGTATTATGAAAATTATTAGATATGATTTTTTTTACATTTTTAGTTGAATTTCAAGATGTTAAAATGTAAGGTGAAATTTAATAAATTGTGGAAGGCTTATTTGTTGATAATAAGAAATGATTTTAGTACCAAATTAAAGTTCAAACATTCCTCTTTAAAATGATGCATGAAACATGTGGGGTTGTATTATAAAAATTATTAGATATGATTTTTTTACATTTTCAACTTAATTTCAAAATGTCAGAATGCAAGGTCAAACTTAAAAAGTTTCAGAAGGGGTATTTATAGAAATTAAGATATGATTTTAGTACCAAATTAAAGCTGAAACTTTCCTCTTTAAAATGATATATGATACATGTGAGGTTGTATTATGAAAATTATTGGATATGATTTTTTTTACATTTTTAGTTGAATTTCAAGATGTTAAAATGTAAGGTGAAATTTAATAAATTGTGGAAGGCTTATTTGTTGATATTAAGAAATGATTTTAGTACCAAATTAAAGCTGAAACATTCCTCTTTAAAATGATGTATGAAACATGTGGGGTTGTATTATAAAAATTATTAGATATGATTTTTTTACATTTTCAACTTAATTTCAAAATGTCAAAATACAAGGTCAAACTTAAAAATTTTCAGAAGGGGTATTTATGGAAATTAAGATATGATGTTAGTACCAAATTAAAGCTGGAAGTTTCCTCTTTAAAATGATATATGAAACATGTTGGGTTGTATTATGAAAATTGTCAGATATGTTTGTTTTACATTCAAAATGTTAAAATACACGGTGAAACTTAAAAAGTTGCGAAAGGGCTATTTATGGAAATTAAGAAATGATATTGGTATCAAATTAAAGCTGAAATATTGCTCTTTAAAATGATATATGATACATGTGAGGTTGTATTATGAAAATTATTGGATATGATTTTTTTTACATTTTTAGTTGAATTTCCAGATGTTAAAATGTAAGGTAAAATTTAATAAATTGTGGAAGGCTTATTTGTTGATATTAAGAAATGATTTTAGTACCAAATTAAAGCTGAAACATTCCTCTTTAAAATGATATATGATACATGTGAGGTTGTATTATGAAAATTATTGGATATGACTTTTTTTACATTTTTAGTTGAATTTCAAGATGTTAAAATGTAAGGTAAAATTTAATAAATTGTGGAAAGCTTATTTGTTGATATTAAGAAATGATTTTAGTATCAAATTAAAGCTGAAACTTTCCTTTTTAAAATGATATATGTAACATGTGGGGTTGTATTATAAAAATTATTAGATATGATTTTTTTACATTTTCAACTTAATTTCAAAATGTCAAAATGCAAGATCAAACTTAAAAAGTTTCAGAAGGAGTATTTATGGAAATTAAGATATGATTTTAGTACCAAATTAAAGCTGAAACTTTCCTCTTTAAAATGATATATGATACATGTGAGGTTGTATTATGAAAATTATTGGATATGACTTTTTTTACATTTTTAGTTGAATTTCAAGATGTTAAAATGTAAGGTAAAATTTAATAAATTGTGGAAAGCTTATTTGTTGATATTAAGAAATGATTTTAGTATCAAATTAAAGCTGAAACTTTCCTTTTTAAAATGATATATGTAACATGTGGGGTTGTATTATAAAAATTATTAGATATGATTTTTTTACATTTTCAACTTAATTTCAAAATGTCAAAATGCAAGATCAAACTTAAAAAGTTTCAGAAGGAGTATTTATGGAAATTAAGATATGATTTTAGTACCAAATTAAAGCTGAAACTTTCCTCTTTAAAATGATATATGATACATGTGAGGTTGTATTATGAAAATTATTGGATATGACTTTTTTTACATTTTTAGTTAAATTTCAAGATGTTAAAATGTAAGGTGAAATTTAATAAATTGTGGAAGGCTTATTTGTTGATATTAAGAAATGATTTTAGTATCAAATTAAAGCTGAAATTTTCCTCTTTAAAATGATATATGATACATGTTGGGTTGTATTATAAAAATTGTTAGATATGTTTGTTTTAGATTTGCAACTTAATTTCAATATGTCAAATGCAAGGTGAAACTTAAAAAGTTGCGGAAGGGGTATTTATGGAAATTAAGAAATGATTTTGGTATCAAATTGAAGCTGAAACATTCCTCTTTAAAATGATGTATGAAACATGTGGGATTGTATTATGAAAATTATTAGATATGATTTTCACAATCACAAAGGATAATGTGTGTAGGCAAGTTATTTATTGCAATACGTATTAACTACCTAATAATAATAGCTATGTTCGGAGAGTAATTATTGGTTTAATTTCAACCCTATGTAATTTGTTGTTACACACTACATTGTATTTGTTTAAGTTTTTCTTTAATATTCTCTATCCGTGTAAACTTAAAACAATCAAGTTCGTTTATAAACCCACACAGGCCATCGTCTTGTATCCTTTTTTGTGTCTTCCTTTTATTTTCAAAATTACCCGAGCACTCAAAGTCTTAATTAAGTGGAATTAGAGGAATAAAGGCTTTCATTCATAACCGTCGCTTACATTTACTAGGTCAATGTGGGCGTGCAATTGATTCTTTAAACATAAAACATAACGGTTCTTGTTTGTATGAATAAAAAAAGCAGGATTATTTGAATTGCAAATATTTTGTTTTCAATATGGTCTTATTTAGTATTAAAAAAATCAAGGTTCTTATTTGTATAAATTTTTAAATGTCAAGAAGATCGTTCAATCTAAAGAAAGTAAGTAATAAAGAAATTATGTATCCAAGTATTTGATTAAAGGACAGGATATGTTAATATTTTCGAGGTTATCTCAAAAATAATCGTCTTTATCAAAAAAATTTTTAAATAAAATTTGTTTAGATTTTAATTTTAAACCAATTATCTTAATAAAAGATTTTGATATCTCAATTAATTAAAGCACTGTATAGGTATAAATCTAACCGTGTAAATCGGGCTTTATTAAAAAAAATCATCCGATTAAAAAAAGTTTTTAATAAAAGTTGTTCAAAATTAAATCCTGAAACGATTTTCTTAATAAAATAAATCGATATTTCGATTCGAAGTTGCTGTGTATTGAAATAAAAAATCATTTTTTGGGGTTATATTTTTAATTATTCACTTAATCAAAAATTTTTATGAATAAGATTTGTTTAGAATTAAATCAGCAACATTTTTTCTTAATAAAATTATTCTCTAACTTTCAATTTTAATTTCCCTGTGAATAGTATGGTAGATATAATTTAATACATATCAAGATATATCATAATTAAATATTTGTCTAAACATAAAATCAAATTAACCAACCTCAAAGGTGATGCTTCTCGATAACTTTATATTTCTTTATTTTAATTTGCATAAAAATTTTTAAATAATCTTACCCTTGAGATCCGAATTGGTTGCTGTAAATCCGATCCACCATTTATTCGAAATCCCCATGGAGATCCGCCGTCTATGGTAACTTCTCGCGTTGTCATAATAATAATTACACGTTTTCTTTTTCGATTAAGACTCTTATCTCCTACCGTTTACGATTTGAACGCGTTTGAAGTTGAGTTTGTAAGTTTGGGTCATCTCCAAGTAACGTATGCCGCCGGATAATCATCGATTTAAATAGAAAAGTCCAACACAAAACAAAGAATTTTTAGGTTCACGATCACAATGTTGTTACGAAATTTCATGCTTTACGCGTTTATTGTATTCAGTTCTGGTCGCGGTAGAACAAAAAAATTTTTTTTGATTAAAATCTAATCTTTTCGGAGATTATAGGGTTTTATCTTTATTGATAAGTTAAAAACACTGTTTATTAATTTATTAATTTCATTATTATAATTTCCGATTTGAATTAATGTTTTTAATTAATTTACTTAAGAACTAATTTTTTTTTAATTAAAACTTTGACATATACATTAACAAAATACGACTTTCAGTGATGGTTAACAGACGCTGTACTGTTCAGGTTCGTTTCTAAACGTTTCAAGACGAATTTCAAGACGCCGGAGATCCCTGGGTAAAGTGGGGGCCTTAATTATAAACGAAAGAAGATGAAAATAATTGCTTTTGTTAACAGTATCACCGATTTATTTCTTTTTCTATTACGTATTTCGTTTAACATAAATATTTATTCTCTTTTGTTTATCTCCCACGCACGTTCTAATAATTACAATCAATCAAACGATTTTAATCAGTTTGAACTTCATTTGAATTTTAAATTGTAAATATTGCACGTGTATTGCTTTATGGTTGCACACCTGTTTTGTGCTAAAAATTAATAACAAACAATGATGGTAACTAAGGCACTAGATCAACCATAAAACCAGATGTGTCATTTTTATTTTAAAACCACCACGAACGTTAAACATAACACATTACATATACTCATACACTAGCGTCTGCGTGGGTTTATAAATAGTCAGTTTTGAATTAGCCTCCAAAATTGAAGAACGGTTTCGTAATAATTTATAATTTTCAAATGATGTTATAAAAAGTTGTTAGATACATCTTGAGTTTGCTTTCTTGAAGAATCGATATAATGATGGGTGGGCTATTAGGTATTAATGTTGAAAAGGTCAATTTGAAGGTGGCTATAATTGGAACAATCGTTAAAGTTAATATCAAATCGTACCGGCTAAATATAAACATAGAAACTGAGAGGTTCAATGTACCATGGTTCAATTGCCACACATTTAACATACGGTGATAAATATCGACGATGAACTTTATTTTAAACTTTATCTTGAACTAGTTTAGAAACAAAAATTATTTTAACATAAATTTATTCCTTTATCCTTAACTACTTATCAAAGTAAAAATAAATATGTATTAATTATTTAGTTACTTTTATCTTTATATTTCAAGGGCACTCTTTAAATTCTACACAGCTGATTATGTATATTATTGTTTTTGATTGCTTCAAAATCATGTTTAAATTATTAATTAAACTAAGTTTTTTTGGGTTTATCAACGTTCACTTGGATGCACACTGAAAATTAAACGAACTTAAGGAACTATTGAACTAAATAGGATGACATTTATGCACCCTCACTGTATTTTCAGCCGCCATTTCAACGAACATGCGCAAACTTGGGGTAAAATCTGTGTTAAAATCGATAATACCCCCAAATAAATTTTCAAAATAATGTACTTAATTCAAAAAATATAGTGGAGTTAAGTTTGGAATAAAAATTTTAAGAACTAGGGTGGTTTTAAAAAATCGTGGGAGGGGTATTTATGGAAATTAAATAATGATTTTGGTATCAAATTAAAGCTGAAACATTTCTCTTTAAAATTATGTATGAAACAGGTTGGGTTGTATTATAAAAATTGTTAGATATGTTTGTTTTACATTTTGTNCTAGGGTGGTTTTAAAAAATCGTGGGAGGGGTATTTATGGAAATTAAATAATGATTTTGGTATCAAATTAAAGCTGAAACATTTCTCTTTAAAATGATGTATGAAACATGTTGGGTTGTGTTATAAAAATTGTTAGATATGTTTGTTTTACATTTTCAACTTAATTTCAACATGTCAAAATGCAAGATGAAACTGAAAAAGTTGCGGAAGGGGTATTTATGGAAATTAAGAAATGATTTTGGTACCAAATTAAAGCTGAAACTTTCCTCTTTAAAATGATATATAATACATGTGGGGTTGTATTATGAAAATTATTAGATATGATTTTTTTTACATTTTCAGTTTAATATCCATCTGTCAAAATGCAAGGTGAAACTTAATAAATTGTGAAAGGGTTATTTGTAGGTATTAAGAAATGATTTTAGTACCAAATTAAAGCTGAAACATTCCTCTTTAAAATGATGTATGAAACATGTTGGGTTGTATTATAAAAATTGTTAGATATGTTTGTTTTACATTTTCAACTTAATTTCAACATGTCAAAATGCAAGGTGACACTTAAAAAGTTGCGGGAGGGGTATTTATGGAAATTAAGAAATGATTTTAGTATCAAATTAAAGCTGAAACTTTCCTCTTTAAAATGATATATAAAACATATGTGGTTGTATTATGAAAATTATTAGATATGATTTTTTTACGATTTCAATTTAATGTCCATCCGTCAAAATGCAAGGTGAAACTTAATAAATTGTGAAAGGGTTATTTGTTGGTATTAAGAAATGATTTTAGTACCAAATTAAAGCTGAAACATTCCTCTTTAAAATGATGTATGAAACAGGTTGGGTTGTATTCTAAAAATTGTTAGATATGTTTGTTTTACATTTTAAACTTAATTTCAATATGTCAAAATGCAAGGTGAAACTTAAAAAGTTGCGGAAGGGGTATTTATGGAAATTAAGAAATGATTTTGGTGCCAAATTAAAGCTGAAACATTCCTCTTTAAAATGATATATGAAACATATGGGGTTGTATTATGAAAATTATTAGATATAATTTTTTTTACATTTTCAGTTTAATGTCAAGCTGGCAAAAGGCAAGGTGAAACTTAATAAATTGTGAAAGGATTATTTGTAGGTATTAAGAAATTATTTTAGTACCAAATTAAAGCTGAAATATTCCTCTTTAAAATGATATATGAAACATGTTGGGTTGTATTATAAAAATTGATAGATATGTTTGTTTTACATTTTTAACTTAATTTCAGCATGTCAAAATGCAAGGTGAAACTTAAAAAGTTGAGAAAGGGGTATTTATGGATATTAAGAAATGATTTTAGTATCAAATTAAAGCTGAAACTTTCCTCTTTAAAATGATATATGAAACATATGGGGTTGTATTATGAAAATTATTAGATATGATTTTTTTTACATTTTCAATTTAATGTCAAGCTGTCAAAAGGCAAGGTGAAACTTAATAAATTTTGAAAGGATTATTTGTAGGTATTAAGAAATGATTTTAGTACCAAATTAAAGCTGAAATATTCCTCTTTAAAATGATGTATGAAACATGTTGGGTTGTATTATAAAAATTGTTAGATATGTTTGTTTTACATTTTTAACTTAATTTCAGCATGTCAAAATGCAAGGTGAAACTAAAAAGTTGAGGAAGGGGTATTTATGGAAATTAAGAACTGATTTTGGTATCAAATTAAAGCTGAAACTTTCTTCTTTAAAATGATATATGAAACATGTGGGGTTGTATTATGAAAATTATTAGATATGATTTTTTTTACATTTTCAGTTTAATGTGCATCTGTCAAAATGCAAGGTGAAACTTAATAAATTGTGAAAGGGTTATTTGTAGGTATTAAGAAATGATTTTAGTACCAAATTAAAGCTGAAATATTCCTCTTTAAAATGATGTATGAAACATGTTGGGTTGTGTTATAAAAATTGTTAGATATGTTTGTTTTAGATTTTTAACTTAATTTCAATATGTCAAAATGCAAGGTGAAACTTAAAAAGTTGCGGAAGGGGTATTTATGGAAATTAAGACATGATTTTGGTATCAAATTAAAGCTGAAACTTTCCTCTTTAAAATGATATATGAAACATATGGGGTTGTATTATAAAAATTATTAGATATGATTTTTTTTACGTTTTCAGTTTAATGTCCATCTGTCAAAATGCAAGGTGAAACTTAATAAATTGTGAATGGGTTATTTGTAGGTATTAAGAAATGATTTTAGTACCAAATTAAAGCTGAAATATTCCTCTTTAAAATGATGTATGAAACATGTTGGGTTATATTAAGAAAATTATTAGATAAAGTATTTGTAACAATTTCCACTTAATTGCGAAATGTCAAAATTTAAAGTTAAATTTTAAAACATTGAGGAAGGGGTATTTATGGAAATTAAGGATTGATTTTACTATCAAATTAAAGCTGAAACATTCCTCTTTAAAATGATGTATAATACATATTGGGTTGTATTATAAAAATTGATAGATAAAATATTTTTTGTTTTTCAATCTCATAATATCAAAATGCAAAATAATCTTTAAAAAATCGTGGAAGAGTTATTTGTTGCAATTAAGGAATGGTTTTAATATCAAATTAAACCCTCATTAAAATGAGGTATAAAAGAAAGAAACTTTTATAAAATATTTTAAGAAGAAATAAGATTATTTCAGTAAAAAATTAAAAATTGATTTTATCTTGCAAAAAAAGCTCACACTCTTTATTATGTACAGTTATTTACATCATATATACAAAAAATCAAACTTAACAAATTAAAATAAAAAAACTTAACGATAAACAAATTTAAAAAAAATAATAAAACAGAAACTATACAAAAACAAGAAATTAAAACGAAATATAACAAAAAGAAAACAAAACAAAAAGTTATACAAATAATACAAAAAAGAATCTGAAGCGATTTTGTCGATTAACACTTTCATATACAGAGTGTTTGTTAATCATTTCGAGCTCTTGTACTATATCAAGTGAAATCATGAACAATTTCTTTTCTTTTTAAGAACAATAAAAACTTAAATTATTGAAAATTATTTATCAAAAATTGTATAATTTAAGAAATCGTACTAAAAACTTGTATTGAGAGAATCTTGTAATAGATTTAAAGTATGATTTCTTACTCTTAAACTTTGTTTTGATAAATAAAATTCAAATTGACGCAATAATAAGAATAGAATTAATTAAACAAAGAAGCGAAAGCTAAAAAATATAAGAAATAAAATCTTAAATTTTAAGGCACTTAATGGTTAAACCAATTGTTAAAAAACTTAGAAACTAACGAAATTCACACACATTTTAATTAAAAATATTAACTAATTAATTAATTGATGGTGATTTTGAATATGAATGAAATATGTGGGGAGAAAATGATTAAAAAAAGATTTAAGATGAAAGATGTTGGGATATCATCACAGTGTGTAGTACGGAACTAACATTATAAATTGAAACAGAAAAAGAAAACTTAACAGAAATTAATTACGTATATAACATTAATTATTAAAGCTTTAACTTGGTTTATAACAGTTTGTTAGCCAAGAATGTGATAACAACACAATGAACAAGGAGATAAATCAAAAAATAAAATAAAAATGTTTTTTTGAACATAAACTTTAAGTCTAAATAATAAAAATGATTGTTGTGTTTAAAAAGAAAGTTGAAAATGAAAACAAATAATGTATGCATAACACAAATAATTAATTCAAATGTGGAATAACGGCACTTATGATGCATTAATACCAACCATGCATGTAAACACGAACAACGATAATTAACTGAACAAATTCAAATAGACAACACCGAATTTGTGGGGGATTAACCATAAGTGAAATTAAAAATAAACAATAATAATTAATAAAATGGGGATTAAACTTAACCATTGAAAACAATTAAAAAGTTATAAACTTGAACTAAAATGGAACGAATTGAGAACAAAACGAAAAAGTTAAACTTAATGTAAACAATTAAAGATATGGAATGTAATTTAATTTAACAATTTTGCATCAAAAATAACCATGCAAGAATTAAAAAAAAAGAAAATAACAAAACTTAACCATTGAAAATAACAAAAAGTGATATTAACAAAACAATAATTTTAATTTGGTAATAAATTTAACTTGATTGTGTGTTTATAATTGGAATTTAACGAAAAAATAATTAAAAGTTTGTGGTTATAAAAAGTTAATAAAAAAAATTAATAATTAAAATAAAAAACTTAACTTGTAAATTAACAAAAATGAAACAAATAATTTTAACAAAAACTGAAACCTCAAATTTCTAAATGCATCAATATAAACCATGCATGTGATTTGTGTAATTTAAAACGGTGAAATCAACAATATAATATAAAAAAATTAACAGAAACGATGATGCCCATTTTTTTAAACACAAAACTTAATACATGCATTAATATTAACCATGCTTAAAAAAAATGATTGAAACTAATTTGAAAACTTAATAATTTAAAAAAATAAAAACAAAACAAGTTGGACGTGTAACAAAACAAATTAATAAATTGAAAATAAACTAGTTAATGATTGAAACTTAATTTGAATTTATTTTTGAAACAGAAACTTAAAAAATAAATTTTTTTTTTAGATTTTCTCCCCACAATTATTTATATGAAATTGATAATTTTTTTTTTATTATTTCAACTTTAAATATATTTATTTGATTTTTTTTAAATCACCATCATCATTTACTTTATATCATTATCTAATGATTAGTTAATTTCCCTAAATTACAAACTTAAATTAAACATCTTTACTCCTAAATGGTAACTTAATGCTTCTTTAATGTTTATTTGAATTCATTGTATTTTCATGTAGCTTTGCAAATTTTCTAATAAATTGTTTGCTTTATTTCTTACCTCAGATACACTGAGCTTTCTTGTTTGGCTGCGTCGAAATCGAGTCTTTTTGATATCTTCAATCAATGTTGAGGAAATTCTTCAATCAGCTTTCTTTTAATTATTGACTAAATAAAAGAAAAAAGAATTATTAAAGAATCTTAACAACAAATAAATTTATAATAAGAACTTACCATTTTCTGATTTTTTATAATCAACGATTCGGATTAATACTTCTACAAATTCGATTTGAGTTTTGCCCCCTTTAACTAAGGGGGCAAGGGCCATTTGGCCCTTTAAAACTTGTCGACGTCTATCTCAAGCGTCTTCTTCTCTGCGTAGAAATTTTTAGACTGAATTTATCAGAAAACGACGCGCTTATATACAGGGCGATTCTATTCTTTACCCCACCACTATCTTTGCTCATGGTATATCGTGAGACAAAACGTCACCCCATATGCTCACCGTTTATTGTACAATCTCTCACCCCAACAAGTCTGCTTTTTTCAAGGGCTTTTCTTCGTTTGACCGACAGGTTATAGAGCATTTAAATCCCAACCAGTTTTCGTCTGTATATGCATAACATAAGAATTTTTTTCTTTATTTTTATTTTATTATGATTTTCATACATACCTATGTATGAAATAATGTTAAGATTAAAAATAAATAAAGTTAATTATCAATTTATTAAGTTAATTTATTATTTAATAAACCAACGTGTTGCAAAAAATTTCTTTAGGGCTGTTTGAACTAAGGGGTTAGTTGTGCAGGAACGAGTTTTTGATGAAATTAATTCTTTGCAGGCTAAGAACCCTTTAGAAAACCAGCAGGATTTTAGCATTTTTTTCATCACTCAAGTTTGGGTGAATGTATTAGCTCAGATGGTTTCACTGCTAAGCAGCTGTTGTAATATTTTTTATTAAACAACTAGATAATACGAAGAATTACCAACAAAAATGAAAATGTAAAAAATAATCACAGTTAGTTATATTGAAAATTAATTTCTAAATCGAAAAAATGGTATAACATTTCTTCATATCAACCTTCATTCTTGAGATATTTGCCTTGAAAGATTTGATTTTTATATAAATCGCCATCATTGAGGGATTTAAAAGGGAATATCTAAAGAACGAAAAGGAATAGGATAAAACACTATTCTTTATTTTCGATTTTAAATTTATTTTTTTATCAGAAAAATAATCTTAAAACTTAAAAAAAAGTGATTTTAATGAATTACGAGGTGAAGAAATAAATATTAACCTCAAAAAGGTGTCATTTTTATATTTTTTTGGATGATTCTTATTAATAATTATCTTTATACAAAAACTTATAAATTAATTATGTAGAAAATTGATTTTTAAATCGAAAAAGAAGAATAAATTTTTTTCATATCTACCTTCGTTCTTGAGATAATTGCCTTAAAATTCTTAGTTTTTATAGAAAACACCAATATTAATGGATTTAAATTGGAATATCTAAAGAACGATAAGGAATAGGATAAAACTCTATTGTTTATTTTCGATTTTAAATTTATTTTTTTATCAGAAAATGATCTTAAAACTTTTTAAAAAAGTTATTTTAATAAATTAGGAGGTGAAGAAATGAATATTAACCCCAAAAAGGTGTCATTTTTACACTTTTTTGATGATTCTTAATAATAATTATCTTTATACAAAAACGTATAAATTAGTTATGTAGAAAATTGATTTTTAAATCGAAAAAGAAGAATAAAATTTTTTCATATCTACCTTCGTTCTTGAGATAATTGCCTTAAAATTCTTAGTTTTTACAGAAAACACCAATATTAATGGATTTAAATGGAAATATCTAAAGAACGAACAGAAATAGGATAAAACTTTATTCTTTATTTACGATTTTAAATTTATTTTTCTATCAGAAAATGATCTTAAAACTTTTTAAAAAAGTGATTTTAATGAATTAGGAGGTGAAGAAATGAATATTAACCCCAAAAAGGTGTCATTTTTACACTTTTTTGAATGATTCTGATTAATAATCATCTTTATACAAAAACCTATAAGTTAGTTATGTAGAAAATTGATTTTTAAATCGAAAAAGAAGAATAAAATTTTTTCATACCTACCTTCGTTCTTGAGATAATTCCCTTAAAATCCTTCGTTTTTATAAAATATGCCAATATTAATGGATTTAAATTGGAATATCTAAAGAACGAAGAAGAATAAGATAAAACGCTGTTCTTTATTTTCGATTTTAAATTAATTTTTTTATAAGAAAATGATCTTAAAACTTTTTAAAAAGGTGATTTTAATGAATTAGGAGGTAAAGAAATCAATATTAACCCCAAAAAGGTGTCATTTTTATACTTTTTTGGATGATTCTTATTAACAATCATCTTTACACAGAAACGTATAAATTAGTTATGTAGAAAATTGATTTTTAAATCGAAAAAGAAGAATAAAATTTTTTCATATCTACCTTCGTTCTTGAGATAATTCCCTTACAATTCTTAGTTCTTATAGGCAACACCAATATTAATGGATTTAAATACGAATATCTAAGAAACTAAAAGAAATAGGATAAAACACTATTCTTTATTTTCGATTTTAAATTTATTTTTCAACCAGAAAATGATCTTAAAACTTTTAAAAAAAGTTATTTTAATGAATTAGGAGGTGAAGAAATGAATATTAACCCCAAAAAGGTGCCATTTTTACACTTTTTTTGATGATTTTTATTAATAATCATCTTTATACAAAAACGTATAAATTAGTTATGTAGAAAATCGATTTTTAAATCGAATAAGAAGAATAAAATTTTTTCATATCTACCTTCGTTCTTGAGATAATTCCCTTATAATTTTTAGTTGTTATAAAATACGCCAATATTAATGGATTTAAATAGGAATATCTAAAGAACGATAAGGAATAGGATAAAACACTATTCTTTATTTTCGATTTTAAATTTATTTTTCAACCAGAAAATGATCTTAAAACTTTTTAAAAAAGTTATTTTAATGAATTAGGAGGTAAAGAAATGAATATTAACCCCAAAAAGGTGTCATTTTTATACTTTTTTGGATGATTCTTATTAATAATCATCTTTATACAAAAACGTATAAGTTAGTTATGTAGAAAATTGATTTTTAAATCGAAAAAGAAGAATAAAATTTTTTCATATCTTCCTTCGTTCTTGAGATAATTCCCTTAAAATCCTTAGTTTTTATAAAATACGCCAATATTAATGGATTTAAATTGGAATATCTAAAGAATGAAAAGGAATGAGATAAAACACTATTCTTTATTTTCGATTTTAAATTTATTTTTCTATCAGAAAATGATCTTAAAACTTTTAAAAAAAGTGATTTTAATGAATTAGGAGGTGAAGAAATGAATATTAACCTCAAAAAGGTGTCATTTTTATACTTTTTTGAATCATTCTTATTAATAATCATCTTTATACAAAAACCTATAAGTTAGTTATGTAGAAAATTGATTTTTAAATCGAAAACGAAGAATAAAATTTTTTCATATCTACCTTCGTTCTTGAGATAATTCCCTTAAAATTCTTAGTTTTTATAGAAAACACCAATATTAATGGATTTAAATGCGTATATCTAAAAAACGAAAAGAAATAGGATAAAACTTTATTCTTTATTTTCGATTTTAAATTTATTTTTCTAACAGAAAATGATCTTAAAACTTTTTAAAAAAGTTATTTTAATGCATTAGGAGGTGAATAAATGAATATTAACCCCAAAAAGGTGTCATTTTTATACTTTTTTTGATGATTTTTATTAATAATCATATTTATACAAAAACGTATAAGTTAGTTATGTAGAAAATTGATTTTTAAATCGAAAAAGAAGAATAAAATTTTTTCATACTTACCTTCGTTCTTGAGATAATTTCCTTAAAATTCTTAGTTTTTATAGAAAACACCAATATTAATGGATTTAAATAGAAATATCTAAAGAACGAAAAGGAATAGGATAAAACAGTATTCTTTATTTTCGATTTTAAATTAATTTTTTTATCAGAAAATGATCTTAAAACTTTTTAAAAATGTGATTTCAATTAATTAGGAGGTGAAGAAATGAATATTAACCCCAAAAAGGTGTCATTTTTACACTTTTTTTGATGATTTTTATTAATAATCATCTTTATACAAAAACGTATAAGTTAGTTATGTAGAAAATTGATTTTTAAATCGAAAAAGAAGAATAAAATATTTTCATACCTACCTTCGTTCTTGAGATAATTCCCTTAAAATCCTTAGTTTTTATAAAATACGTCAATATTAATGAATTTAAATTGGAATATCTAAAGAACGAAGAAGAATAAGATAAAACACTATTCTTTATTTTCGATTTTAAATTTATTTTTCTATCAGAAAATGATCTTAAAACTTAAAAAAAAAAGTGATTTTAATGAATTAGGAGGTGAAGAAATGAATATTAACCTCAAAAAGGTGTCATTTTTATATTTTTTTGGATGATTCTTATTAATAATTATCTTTATACAAAAACTTATAAATTAATTATGTAGAAAATTGATTTTTAAATCGAAAAAGAAGAATAAATTTTTTTCATATCTACCTTCGTTCGTGAGATAATTGCCTTAAAATTCTTAGTTTTTATAAAATACCCCAATATTAATGGATTTAAATTGGAATATCTAAAGAACGAAGAAGTATAAGATAAAACTCTGTTCTTTATTTTCGATTTTAAATTAATTTTTTTATCAGAAAATGATCTTAAAACTTTTTAAAAAAGTGATTTTAATGAATTAGGGGGTGAAGAAATGAATATTAACCCCAAAAAGGTGCCATTTTTACACTTTTTTTGATGATTTTTATTAATAATCATCTTTATACAAAAACGTATAATTAGTTATGTAGAAAATTGATTTTTAAATCGAAAAAGAATAAAATTTTTTCATACCTACCTTTGTTCTTGAGATAATTCTCTTAAAATTCTTAGTTTTTATAAAATACGCCAATATTAATGGATTTAAATGCGTATATCTAAAAAACGAAAAGAAATAGGATAAAACACTATTCTTTATTTTCGATTTTAAATTTATTTTTCTATCAAAAAATGATCTTAAAACTTTTTAAAAAAGTGATTTTAATGAATTAGGGGGTGAAGAAATGAATATTAACCCCAAAAAGGTGCCATTTTTACACCTTTTTTGATGATTTTTATTAATAATCATCTTTATACAAAAACGTATAATTAGTTATGTAGAAAATTGATTTTTAAATCGAAAAAGAAGAATAAAATTTTTTCATATTTATCTTCGTTCTTGAGATAATTCCCTTAAAATCCTTAGTTTTTATAAAATACCCCAATATTAATGGATTTAAATTGGAATATCTAAAGAACGAAGAAGAATAAGATAAAACACTATTCTTTATTTTCGATTTTAAATTTATTTTTCTGTAAGAAAATGAACTTAAAACTTTTTAAAAAAGTGATTTTAATGAATTAGGAGGTGAAGAAATGAATATTAACCCAAAAAAGGTGTCATTTTTACACTTTTTTGGATGATTCTTATTAATAATCATCTTAATACAAAAACGTATAAGTTAGTTATGTAGAAAATTGATTTTTAAATCGAAAAAGAAGAATAAAATTTTTTCATACCTACCTTCGTTCTTGAGATAATTTCCTTAAAATCCTTAATTTTTATAAAATACGCCAATATTAATGGATTTAAATTGGAATATCTAAAGAACGAAGAAGAATAAGATAAAACACTATTCTTTATTTTCGATTTTAAATTTGTTTTTCTATTAGAAAATGAACTTAAAACTTTTTAAAAAAGTGATTTTAATGAATTAGGAGGTGAAGAAATTAATATTAACCCCAAAAAGGTGTCATTTTTACACTTTTTTTTGATGATTTTTATTAATAATCATCTTTATATAAAAACGTATAAGTTAGTTGTATAAAAAATTGGTTTTTAAATCTAAAAAGGAGAATAAAATTTTTTCATATCTACCTTCGTTCTTGAGATAATTCCCTTAAAATAATGATTTTCATGAATTAGGAGAAAAAGAAAAATATAACGTTAAGAAATTTTTATTCCCAAACACAACTTTGTTAAAAATGTTTAATTTTATTTAATTTCTCTCACAAACTCTTATCGTTTTAACAACATCAGTATTTTCTCGTGTTGGATTATTAATTTTAGCTTTTAGTATACTACAATGACTCCCTGTAATCGTCGTGCAATTTAAACGGGCTCTCAAAGGGTTCCTTTGTGCGCGAAAACGCCTGCACGGTTTAATATGGAAGGTGTCGAGGTCCGGTGGCGGCGCTTTCGACAAGAGCTTGGGGTACGATTTTGGTTTGAGGGAACTCCACGGTGTGCATTCCCACGGTCTTGCAAAGGAGCAGCTCGACGACGTCGAAACGCCTTTCGAGGGGTTGCGTATTGCGGCGTACTTCGACCCTTTTACATATTATTGTTACGAAATAGATTCCCACACTTCAATAAAATTCCTCACTATTTTAGTTGTAAAAAGATTTTAATAAGAAATACTTTTTAGACCAAAAATATTTTACTTTCTATACCTGGTGAACTCAATAAGAGTAGGCATTATTATCTTTGGGCACGCGACAAAACCGACCCAGTAAGAAGCAGCTGTGCATACGTTTTTATTTAAACGTAAAGTCAAAAGAACGTCTTTCAAGCCGTCTTCGGCTTAAGGTCCCCTCTTATTCTCGCCGTGGTGGAACAGATGTCCGATTTGTGAAAGAAGTCGTACATATTCACCCGATAGACGAGAACTGAGAATTTCGTTATTAGCAATTCCGAATAGTGCTTGGTAGCTAGAACCAGGTTTTGGGGGAATATCTCAAATATTTGCTATTTTGACGTCTAATTGGGACGCCTTCATGAAATATGCAAAATTCCGTAGTTTCTCTCTAGGCCCGCATACGCCATACTGTATTTCTTGATTAATGTCGAGCGCTCGTCGAGGAGGAAACGTGACCACCATACATTTTCAGATCGCCCCCATTTAAAGAGGCACACTCCCTAAAGTTATTATTGTTACGGGGGCGATAATCTCTCATTGGGTTCACTTCAATTAACGAGCCGACACGCGATTCTCAATTGAAATAGTTTTTATGTACCCACATTGGGGGTGAAACAATTTTTGATTGAACTTAATGAATCGATAAAAAAATTTTTAATAATCAAAAATAGAGTGTTGTAGCATCTGTTGAGATTTCAAACCTGAATTTTGATTTTATTCACCCTGCTATAATAAATCCTGCTGGTTTTCTAAAGGATATTATTATACAAAAAACTCGTTCCTGCAATACTTTCTTTTAAAACATAATTTTTATTAACCCTTTCGTCCCGGATGGTACATATGTGTACCACAAATGTGTGAAAACCCCTGGAACCTAAAATGATCGCTCGTTTTCAGTGGAAATTGTACCAGGCCGTTGTTTATGCGTTATGTACAAAAATCGCACGCTGTCTGCATGACTCTAGCTAGTCTAGCGCTAATTTCCATTGTCTGCACGTGGTTTTGTGCAATTTTAGTGTTAAAAGTTGTTGTAATACACTATTATTATTGAATATTATTAGAGTAAATCACCAGAGAGTAAATTACAAGTAAGTGATCAAAATAGTTAGTAATTAATTTTTTGGGTGGATATTTTTTTATATAGTACATATATGTACCAGCCGGGTTTTTCAGTGGTACACATATGTACCATCAGTTCTTTATGTACAAAAGGTAAATTTTTAGGACAACAATGAACAAGAAAAATTTGAGCCAAAAAGAGTTGGAAGATATAGCTGAAAATCTGACAGACTTTTCCTCTGGGTCTTCAGATGTATATAAACCAAGTACTAGTGAATCTGATTCTTCAGATGACTATGAAAAGAAAAACAATACAGATACCATGAAAAGAAAGAAGATTACTAAAGGTCCTAAAAATGATGAAAGTACTCAAGACAAAGAATCAAGTAGTGAAGATGATTCGGACAATGATGATACAAATATTGAGGTAGAATCAGAAACTTGCGATGAGGAGCATACAAATCGACTACCTGAATGGATTGTTCCAAGCAATACATTTGTACCTGCAAAATCTATTCCTTCTTCAAGACCTTGTAAAATTTATGACAAATAGAAATTCTCGTCCAATTCAAGTGTTTCATAAAATGTTTCCACATTCACTATATCTTCAAATTGTTAATTGTACAAATGAACGAATAAAGATTTTGAATAATGTAAAAAAACAAAAACACAAGCCTACTGACAAGGGCGAATTACAGAAAATTCTAGCAGTTATGATGGTAATGTCCTATAAATATCTGCCATCTCTCAAAAATTATTGGAGTAACAAAGAATCCATGGGAAACAGACTGGTTGGGAGAATAATTTCTCCATGGTTGTAACATCGAAACTGTATTTTTCTCTTCCTGAAAAGCCACCAGACGCAACAAAGACATACATTTAGAAAATATCGCCAGGATAGCCCTTTTCAGAGCATCGACGAATCCATGACAAAATTCAAAGGGCGTTCTTCTCTCAAACAATATATGCCTCTCAAAGCGGTGAAACGAGACATAAAGTTATGGTGCCGTTGCGACTCAGATTCCGGGTACACCTACGATCTAAACGTATACTCCGGAAAGGAATCTCAACCTATAACAGACGGTGCCCTTACTCTTGGAGAGCGAGTTGTTAAACGTCTTGCAAGTACAATACAAGAACCTGACGTGTGTTTGTGCTTTGATCGTTTTTTTACTAGTGTCAATTTGTTAGAAACATGTGGTTATGCCGCATTGGGTACGTGTATGAGTAATCGCAAAAACTTGCCCAATGTACAAGGAAAATTGAAACGAGGAGAATCAATGTTTAGAAGTAATGAAACGGGACTCCTGTTAGCTAAATGGCAAGACACAAAAGAGTTCTTAGTTCTAAGTAATTGCCACAAACCAGAAACAACTGAGATCCTCAAAAAAACAAAAACAGGCGAACAAGAGCGTATCGACTGTCCTGAAGCTATTGCTTTTTATCGAAAAAAAAAATGGGTGGCGTCGATAGAGCAGATCAGTATCAAAGTCTATATGATTACGACCGGAAATCCACAAAATGGTGGAAAAAGGTTTTTTATACCTGTGTCAACATTTGCACTGTAAACGCATAGATATTATACAAGGTGATTCATAAGTAATGGGCCAAATTGTAAATGTACGTTCAGGAGGCCAAAATAATAATATTTTCATTAACAATAATGGGTCTTAGTCTGCTCCTTACTGAGATACAGGATGTTAAAGCGAAAAAAATAAAATAGATTTTTGTTAATAGATCAGCTACTTTTCTACATAATGACTCATAGTTGACTTATAGTTTTTGTAAGGGTAAACAATAATGTGTGAGAGGATTTGAGTTAACTCGTAGATGTCGCCACATGCGCCATATGAATTATGAAACGTCAATGAGCTTTTACGTTTAATGAATAGTTTAAAACATTTTATTGTTAAGTAAACTGATTCATTCTTGTCCTAACATAAATCAAAATGCCGAGACATAATCACTTTTCAAACGAAGAAATGAGAGACATGTTATGCGTTTACGCACAAGAACGTTTTTCTGGGCAAGCAGCATCCAGAAAATATCGTGAAATGTACCCTTACAGAAGGCAGCCAAACCGGAAGATATTTCAAAATATTTATAATCGATTGGGTGAAACAGGTTCATTTCGTCCAAAATATCATACAGGACGTCCTAAGATTATCACTCCGCAGCAAGAAGATGAAATTTTGGTAAGAATTGCGCAAAATTCTGAAATAAGCACTCGTCGATTGTCTGCAGCAACTGGAATAAGCCAACCATCCGTGACTAGAATTTTACACAAGGAAAATTTATATCCCTATCATTTTATACCTGTGCAAAATTTACTTCCAACAGANAGAACGGCTGTCTAGATCGTTTGGTCACTTTACTATGGCACGTTAACTTTTCGAAATTTGGAAGCACTATAACTTAATTTTTTTAAATGGCACCCCCCATATTTTATTACTTAGTCGTCTTCGGCGTCTCATTTTACATCTTTTATATCCATACCATATGGCCCATACCTAATATTAATAGTTTGGGAGATAATTAGGGTTTTTTGAAAAATGCTCACATATCATATGGATATTAACCTAGTGTGCCATGGAAAACAAATGTTTAATGACTTATTGATAAACGTCAAAGTCTAATTTAGGTTGTTTGATGCTTGTGAGTCTAATACCACTTAAAATGGATATTAATAACATAAATAATGTTTATACAAATGAAGAAATCCATAATTTATTTTTTGTGCACGAAAAGTGCGACAAAGTTCTTAGTAGAACTTGCAGAATGTTTAATGAAAATTATCCACATTTATCTCCGATGACAAAAGGTAAATTTAGAGGAATAGAAGCAAATTTTTTGCATTTACGAATTAATCACGTGTTAAACTGACCAAAAAATGTAGTAGATAATGCAACGGAAGAGGTGAATACCTTGGCTTATTTCGAGCCCAGTCNCATTTCTCTAATTTCAAAAATAAACGAAATATGAGCATTTTTTGAAATCACGAAAATTTGACTTTTTGGCTATAACTTAAAAACAAAAGAAGATAGTGGTTTGGTGTTTGCGGGATTGGGTTAGTCTCGAAAAAAGAAACCTACACATGGCACCTACTTTTTTCGTATCTCTTATAGTTTCTGAGATAGCCTATAATAACACCCAAATTTGCCCACCCTGTACAAGGAAAATTGAAACGAGGAGAATCAATGTTTAGAAGTAATGAAACGGGACTCCTGTTAGCTAAATGGCAAGACACAAAAGAGGTCTTAGTTCTAAGTAATTGCCACAAACCAGAAACAACAGAGATCCTCAAAAAACAAAAACAGGCGAACAAGAGCGTATCGACTGTCCTGAAGCTATTGCTTTTTATCGAAAAAAAATGGGTGGCGTCGATAGAGCAGATCAGTATCAAAGTCTATATGATTACGACCGGAAATCCACAAAATGGTGGGAAAAGGTTTTTTATACCTGTGTCAACATTTGCACTGTAAACGCATGGATATTATATAAAGATTTGAAACGAGAAAATAAAGATGTTTCATATTTGACATTTTTGATAGATCTGGCAGAAGAACTAGCTGAAGAAGGGGTAAAACTTTCAAATTTGCCGTTGCCTAAGAAAGGGCCTCCAAAAAAGCGAAAGACAAGTGCTTTGCATTTACCAATAGAAAGAAACACAAGAAGAAGGTGTATTCGTTGTACAACAAATCAAGTCCAGAAAAGAACAAAAACCATATGCAAAGAGTGCAATGTTGTACTATGCAAATTATGTTTCGCCCCATATCATAGCGAGTAAAGACAACCCTTTCTGGATTTTTTACCAACCCCTAAAAGATTTTCTAATTTTTATGGTAAATAATATCTATTATATAGCTAGTGCACAGTAACGTGTATAAATTTTTTGATAAATTTCATGTTTTAGTATTCCGGGACGAAAGGGAACTAATTTCGACATAGTTTTCGTTTTCGTAATCGAGGGTCATTTTTCGACCCCTCAAGAACAAAACCGTACGTAACGTTCTTCTCCCATCGCTCGGAAGATCGTTGAGCCGTCCTTTTTAAGATACCGGATCTGGCAGGTCGGTTAAGAAGCTTTTCTGTTCTTCCCAGGGGATGGAACATCCCTTTTAGAATCTCGCACCATTGCAAGCGAATTGTATACGGATGTGTGCTATTGAGGATGATGGGATCAAATTTGTTAAGTGATGAGTAAAAGAGCCGATCCTTTTTTAACGGAAAAAATTAATTGAATATCGTTTAGTTATTACACACATTAACCATAAATTGCTATCTTATACTGTTAAACCATCCGGACCAATACAATCACCAATCACGTACTCGTCAAATTACCTAATCAATATTAATTAATACGTAGTTTGGCCCTTCAACATACTGTTCAACAAATCAATTTAGTCGCTGTTATTATCACAACCAAGAACAGCATAGCGCATTGCGACAATAGTTTCAATTTCGAATTAGCATTTAACATTCAAAACTCGAACCACGTCGAATTAGTCGAATATTACGTTAACAGCATCTGTTGGGTTTTCTTTCAACTTAAAAGTTTAATCGCAATTCTAGAGATGGCGCTTTATAAAAACATAAAACTTTTTTTATAATAAATTTGTTAATATTAATTATTAATCGCTTATTAAACTTTAAAACTCACGAACTTTCATAGAAAACTTCACATCCGGCGTGATTTACAAACGAGAACATTACGGAAATTTATGGTTCGGTTCTGATGACAAATGTTGAAATCGAAACGATTTACTGCGGGTTATAAAAGTGTTTATACCATGATCTATGGCGATAAACGTTTAAACTTTTTTTTAATCTTATTTTTATCTATATTTTTAACCTTACTAAGCTACTTAAAATCTGTTGCTAAAAGCTTTGTTGTTTTTCACTTTTATTTACTTTGTAAAAGTCTCTCCTCTTCCTTTTCCTCTCATTTCTAGATGAAAGGGGTCGAACTATACGTGTTGTGACACATCCGAGCTTTTAGCCTAATTATGCCAATAAATCAATAGCACCTCTAAGCCCAAACTACGTCCGTAGCTTTCCGACCTCCATCGATAGGTGTGTAAATTGACGAGAAATGTAGTTGGTGCACTGTTCTAATTAAAATCTGGGTCGATACCTTACAATTTAGCCAGATTCTACAATCTAGAAGTTAATTTTCGTTTGTAATTCAATGGTTTAAGTTATAATACTTTAAATTTCAATGTTTTTTATTTATAACAGGAAGCTATCACTAATTATTATTAAGATGAAACTGTTAGAGATTGTTGCGTTGTAACAAATTTTGAGCTTTTACTTTATTCCATCTAAAATTTAAAATATCACCTATTTAAATTGAAGTCTGTTCACAACAGGATTAAAAATAAAATATGTTTGCTCCAAAACGGCTTAGGATTAAGAAATGAAACTTTTTGTGGTTGTAAAGAAATGTTTGAGGGTTGCTTATACCAAATTAGAAGCTTTCAGAATCATCGCTTTTCTTCATATATGTATTAAAAAATTTATTCTTCGATTAGAGACTTCTTAAAATGTGAATTA